CACAGCGGGCTCCTGACACTGCTGCCAGGCTCCTGGGCCTCCCTTAGGGTGCTGTCACATGCACTGGTCCCTCTTCAACAGGGGACAGCAAACTTCCGCCCAACATGCTTGCTGGGTGGCCCTCTGGGTGACAGGTCTGTCCTGGGCTGTGCTTGTGTGTGTACAGGTGTTCGTGGGCCTGGCAATGTTGGCACTGCCACCCATGCCAGCGGGCCCCGAACTGGAACGTGAGCCAGGCGGTGGCATCGCCCGCCCTCCCCCGGGCATCTAGAAGCAGCGAGGCAGAGCAGCGCTGGGGCTCTCTCTAATCGCTGGCACCCCAGGCCCTGCACCCCGCAGGTTCCGACATGCTGGGCTTAAAGCCGGTCTCAGGGACTCACACTGTACCCCACCTCTATGCGGGGTCAGCTTCTGCAGTCTGGGGTAAGAATCGCTGCTCTCAGCCGCCTCTGAGGCCTCAGGGCTGTGGGAGGCAGGGTGGTTTGGCTCTGGCACACCCATGATCGCGAAGTGGCTGGGCCTCATTCTGGCATGCTGCACCGCATCAGCCCTCGTCCTGGGACCCACTGGCAGGGTGCTGTGCCTGGCCTGACTTGGCAGCCCAGGTGCTTCCTGGCCACACAGGGGTGGCAGGCTAATTAGCTGACTAAATGAAGCGATGAGGGGCAGCCCACTGAGTGAAGCAGCAGCCTCCTCGTCCTCGCTCTGAGCGAGGCAGCGTTGGGGCAGTGCACACGTGACTTATTGTGACCTCCAGCTCTGTGAGTGAGACAGACTTCTGGCCCCTAGAGAGGAGGTGTGGACACCTGCAGCCGTCTCTGAGGCCCCGCCCGTTGGCCTCCACAATGCCAGGACGGCAAGACCCTCATACGGACCAGACCGCCTGTGGAAAACGGAAGTTGATTAAAAGGGGCTCCGTGGTGGATTCAGGGAACGCCTGCTCAGCCCTGGGTTACATGAGAGCACACCGACAACGGGATTTGGGCGAGCGGGGCTTGCGGGGCCCCCTCCAAGCGCAGCCCTGGCTCAGCGTGCGTCACACCACCACCCTGCCCAGCAGGTTGAAAAGAGAAGGAGGAGAGATGATTCCTGAAAGTGGTGGGTGACACAGGGCAAGTGACTAAGACTGGGTGTTTCCAGAGGTGCTTTCTACAGGGATCCACAGGGCCTAGAAGGGGACACAGAGGAGGGCCCGGGTTGGTAGCACTCTCCGGGAGCAGGGCTAGTGGAGGTCCGACATACAAATTAGGGTGAGCGTGACCGATGTGGCTGGGCTCACCCACCAGCTTTGCTGCACCAGTACAGCTCACATCCTCAGGAAGGAGAGGGCTCGCCCGGCTCACGGTTCGGGAGACTCAGTCCCTGGTTATCTGACTCTAGGTCAGAAACACACCTGGAGGATGGGGCGGAGGAGAGCTGCTGTGTCCTGGCAGCCAGGCGTGGAGCTGGGGACCGGAGGCTGCCCTTCAGCTCGGTCCCAGTGACCACCTGCTCCGACCAGCCTCCACCTCCGCGCAGCGCATTTGGCCCTGGACTCAGGGGTGGATGCGCTAATCTGTGTGTGGGCACAGCATCCTGTGACCCAGGCGCCTCCCAGGAGACACAGGAGGGCTTGGGGGGCATCTCACTCCACAGCGTAATGTGGCCTTCAGCAACCAAGTGTCAGTTGGCACCATTTCCTGGGATTGGCACAAAGACAGAAATGGAGAAGCAGGTGTGGGATGGCACCAGGAGGCCCCGTAAGGCTGAGGTGCCCGGAGCAGACAGATGCCAGCGGGCGGCGGAGCACGAGCCTGGTGTGCACGGGTGCTTGGGAGTTAAGGGAATTGGGAAGGGATGGGTGCCCCAGCATTTCTTGGCCGTGTTCTCAGCTGTGATCCACCCCTCCTTGGACACCCAAGAATCAGACACCCCAGGAGCAGCCTGCGTTCCTGAAGCCCAGTGTCTGGAGTCACTGGTAAGAGCAAGGCTGTGCCCACTGGCTCGTCCACACAGTTGCCTTCTGAAGCGGGGCCTTCTCATCACCCACGATGTCTTTGAGGCTGGTGACCTTCATCTGTCTGTCCTCCCTGTGTGAGGACAGCCGGGCCCGCTGGCCTCTTCTGTTACTCCAGGGGTAGACAGCCACGACAACCAAAGCAGGGCAGCAGCGAAGAGCTCCGATACTGTCCCTGCAGCCCTGGCCACCACGGAGGAAAGATAACTCTAAGATCGAGCCCCCAGTCAGGGTCACGGTGCCCATGCTGATGCCCAGATGAATGAACCAGCTTAGAACCCCAGGTCGCTTTTCCTCTGCCACCCACAGCCACCTCCCCGGCACTCACCCTCTTCCTAATTAGTGTGGGCTGCAGACGTGAAAATTCATTTTTGCATTAGCCCAAGCAAGCCGTAACTAGGAAGCTGCCTGGTGAAGGAGGAGGAGCAGTGTGCAGGACAGTCAGGGCTGCAGACGACACGGGGCCGCCATACACTCAGCTCAGGTCACCCAGCCTGCCGGGCCCACTGGCTGTGGGCCCCGAGATTCTGCGGCTTTGGGTCCCAGAGGGACCGACGGGAAGCAGGAGCGCCCGCTTGGTGAAGGGGAGCTGGGGCCGCTCTCTGATGGCTATTAGCTTTGTCTGCTCCCTGCACTGATGGAATTAATTCCTTGGCTTCATGGACCGTAAAACTGATCGGCTCCCCAGAGCCCAGGGAAGAGCCTGTCACCTTAGATGATTTGACGCGCACTTTCCCTTTGCAGGGATGATGAGGGTGGAGGAAAGCAGTTAGGAGCAAGGCGCCCTGCCCTGCGTCTCACAGAGCAGCCATCGAGGACTTGGAGGAAGCGCTGGAGGGAGGCTCACGGGAGCCGCGGGGTGCTGCTGTCCCAGGCTCTGAAAGGGGAAGCCCTCCTGCAGCGCCTGCGGCTCGACTTGGCTGGCCTGTGGTGCGGATGACCGGCACTTCATGACACCCTTGTCACATCGCTGGACTTGCTTCTCAGCCACACGCCCACAGTTGGTGCTTCTGACATAAAGGGAAACTTGCTTGAAGAAAAGTGGACACGAAGCCTGGTGCTGGCCCTGAGGCCCTGTGCTTCTGAGACTCTGCTTGAGGCAGGGACCCAGCGGGGGCCTCGGGCAAGTGCAGCTGAACTGAGCAGGTGCGGGTGGCCTAGACGCTGCTGAGCGAGGACCCCAGACTCAAACCCTCTGGAGAATCCTGGCTCCCATGCAAGTGGGCTGAGCTCAAACCGAGGGCCAAGCGGCCTCCCAGCTTCCCGCCGAATTGCACCTGCCGTGCATGGTTTTCTAAACCAATCAGGAATCCAGACTTCTTTTCATCTCTTAAAAGTTGTGGTTCTCTGAAAAGGATTTAAACCTACCTGGGGTGAGCATGACGCGGCCACAGACAGGATTCGGTGTGTGGATTTCACTGTATCAAGAGAAGGGATGTTCGCATAGTGGAAGCTGCCCCACCAGGGGATCCCTCTGCGGGACAGGCACGGAGGGCGAGCCTCTGTGACGCACAACCCAGAGTGCCCTGACAGCACCACACCATGGGGACAGGCCCGGGACAGAAGGGCAAAGAATGACCAGAATGACTGTCTGGGCTGGTGTTGGGCGACCGATGAAGGTTACAGCTCTCTCTCTCTACGTCCCTCCCTCTCTCTCTTTCTTTCTCTGTCTCCTTTCTGGTACTGGGGATTGAACCCAGAACCTCTACAATGAACTACATCACCCCACTGCTATCAACGACAACTTTTCCTTTTTTGGGAGGGGCAGGGGTTTGAGACAGGGTCTCACTAAGTCGCTAAACTGCCAAAGCTGGGCTCAAATTTGAGATCTCCCTGCCTCAGCTTCCCAGATTGGCAGACTTACAAGCATGCCTCACCATGCCCAGTTCAGAATTTTTGGGTTTTTGAGATGGGCCCTTGCTCTCCAGTGCAGGCTGGCCTCGAACTCATAGCAGGCCTCCTGCCTCAGTCTCCCACATGCTGGGATCACAGGGGTGTGCCACTACATTCAGCTAAATTTTCTTCTTAGGTGATAAAAATGTTCTAAAATTGACTATGGTGACATTGCATGCACCTGTGACTATATGAAAGACTAGCAATATAATTTAAATAAATGAATTATATGGTACGTGAGTCCCATCCCAATAAAACTGCCTACCTCCAAAAAGATACAGAACAACATACTTGTGCCTTCAGGCGTAGCTAAAGTTGTGGCACGCCTCACCAGCCCCTGGTCTGTGGGTGCTACACCCCCTCCCCAGCTTGCTAGAAACTCCACTAAACCTCAATTCAACAACTAAACATATAGCTGGGCATTATAGTACCCCCGTCATCCCAGCACTTTAGGAGGCTGAGACAGTAGGGTCACAAGTTCAAGCCCAGCCTTGGCAATTTAGAAGGCCTTCTCTCAAAATGAAATGCAAAAACCTGGCTGGCGATGTAGCTCAGCCCAACGGCCCTGGGTTCAATCCCCTACTGAAAAAATCATCTTCTGCCAGGCTTCTGAAAGCACTGAGCCAATGGTGGGCTTCCCCGGCGTGCGCCCCACCTGCCCTGCCTGCGGCACCCACCCCACACCTCGCCGAGGAGGAGCAGGCAGCTGTCGTTGCTGTGTGGCGCTGCCTCCTGTGTTGCCCTGGAACCCCAGCAAGTCTGAATCTTGGGTGTCAGTCAGGAGGATGCTGTGATCGCCCCTCCTTGCAAATTCCACTTTGAACGCAGTAATCTGAAGGGTGGAACTGGCTTAAAGTCTGAAGCACCGTTTAGGATGCGAAAGAAGACATGCAAGCTCTCTGCGGGGGACATAGTCTAATCCGAGCCCTTCTCCTACACACGCAGCGAGGCACAGGGAGCTGCGCCCACGATCGAGCTCCTGAGACACGCTTGGCACCAGAAATGTCCTTATCTCAGGATGTACTTTCCCAGCAGATACAAAGCTCTCATTACGAGCATCTTCCGATGTAGTAGATACAAGAAATGAAACTCTGCACTGCCCGCATCCTCCCCAACCTCAGGAGCTCCGAGTCACGTATTCAGCGGCTTTCTAAGCTCAAAAAGAGGCAGCGACTCGGACTCCGCCGGGCTCTCCCTGAGGGGTTCGCTAACACTGTCTAATCAGCTTAAGGAGTTAATTAAACATCTGTCACTTGACTCCTTCATTCTGAAACTAGATCTGAAATAAGATTGGAAATTAGTTGTGCATGACTAAAAAGTGCCTTAGGAACACTGAAAGATTTTTCCAGGCAGCATGGGATTAAAAAAAAAAAAAAACAACCTGATTCCCAGGCAGCAGGATCTGCAGGGTGACCCTGGAAGTGACGTGGGTCCTGAGAGAATTGTCAGCCACGAGGCCAGGTTCACCTGCGGGCCTCCGCTGTCCACGGGAGCACTGCCCACCAGGCTGCAGGTGCAGATGTGTCCGGCTCAGGATTCCCACGGTTTTCGTAAAAGGTGGATTGAAGGTCCAAGTCAGGAGGAACATCGTGTAAAGATATCTGTTCTCGGCTCCTCTAGAAAAATCAAGATAAGGGCAAGACTGCTCGCTTTTGGGAAAGGCAGCGGTCAACAGAGATAAAACTGCCCACGCTTCTGGGCCACGAGTCCCAGTTGCCACATGACCAGCGCTTCTGAAAGCCACAGATGGACCCACAACTATGCCCCGGCCCAGGACGATGTCAAAGGCAAGTGGTCCAGGCCCTCAGGAGGGAAGCCTCCTTCACCCTGGCCTGGAGGCTCTGGAGGGCTCACGGGGAGCTGCCTACGCCCCTGGCTCTCTCCAACATGTCCTGCAGACTACAGCATGATAAGCGTTTGCAGAGACCCAAAGGTGGCCAAGGGCACACGCCTTCTGTCCACTCCCCTCCTGCTCTGGGTGCCTCCAGACCCCGGGCACTCAACAGTGCAACCGGACACGGCAAGAGCCCGTCCTTGGAGGACCCGGGTTCTGAGCGTGGCCTGATGCCACACACCCCTGGTGCTGTCCCTCGGGCACGCGGGTGTGGTTCTCCCGAGGCACCACCCGAGGGTCCAGGCCTGGCCACCCTTCCTGTGTGCCCTGCGGCACAGAGCTTGAGCTGGGAAGCGGGGGTGGGGGCTGCTCTCGTCTCTCCCTTGCTCTCCTTCCTTCTCTCTTTCTCTCCCTTGCTATTCCCTGCTGCCAAGAACAAACTGAGCCCTTATAGATCGCTGTGTGTAGTATAAGGCTGCTAATAATAATGGAACTTATTGAAAAATTAATAATCGTCAAGCACAGTTTAAATAAGTGCATACGCTAACTCACTTGAGCCGACGGGAACACTCAGAGGCAAATGCTTACTTGGGAACCTCATTTCGTGGAGGTGAAAAGCAAAACGTGAAAAGGTCTCATAACCTGCCAAGTCCTGTGACCAGGAGGTGGCCAAGCCAGGTTTAACACAGGACCTGGGGTCGTGCACTACGCATAAATGGGGTTCTGTGGTCTCTCGCTGAAGCCTGGCTTAGGTCACTCAGCGTCCACCCGGAGAAAGCAGCTCTGGGGCCAGGCGTGGCTAGAAGTCTCGGCCTCGGGTGGGGTGGGTGGCAAGCCCAACAAGCAGCACTGCCACTTGTCACCCGCCCCGCACTGTGTTCATCACGTGCAGCTTCTCTATAAATTATAGGCAATGTGCCCGCCGCTTATTTCCACCTGGGGAGAGTAAGACAGACACAGCGTTAGAGCGGGGCCTTGAGCTTACTGTTCTAAGATCTTTTTAATGGCAGACTCTGCCGGGACAGTAAAATATGATTTAAAAGTTGGTGTGGGTCGCTTCCATTCCAAGGACTCACCTGCCTCGTGAAGCCTGTGCTGCTTGCACAACCCCCGCTCGCCACTCCTGGGAGAACGTCAAAGCCTCCCCCCTGCCCTGCGCCATCCGCTTCCCCCACTGTTCCATGTATGTTTATTAAACAAGGTCTGCAGCTGGAAAGAAAAGTCCCCAAATGAGACACAAAGAGCAGGCCTGGAGCGGAGACCAATGGACAGAAAGGGCTGGTCCACCCCAGGAAGGGTGCAGTCAGAGCAGAGCTCCACCAGGGTCCTGGTTACGGTCCAGGTCAGTTGTGGAGATCGGGCAGGGGCAACTCACAGCTTGGCGCACCAGAGCCTCGGGAGCCACTGGGCCCTGCCACAGGAATAGAGTCCTCAGCATGACCTGCACACCCACCCCAGGGACCCGGCAGGGTCTGGAGGCTGCTGGGCTGAGAGAGGGAGGGAGGGAGGGAGGGAGGGAGGGAAGGAAGTGGCCAGAGACACGGCAGTGTAGAACAACCCCAGGACAGGTGCCTGCCTGGCCCCCTGCGGCGGGCGTGGGTGGAGAAGCCCCACTCTCCACAGCGCAGCGTGGATGGAAGTTCAACAGACTTGCTTCTGGTCTCGGCCTTTAGGTGCACCGTGTCCACACGCTAAGGCATGGATGGCTGTTTCAGCACGCGCTGCTGCTGTGCTTGACCTTGAGTGCACAGAGACAAGGTCAAGGTGGGGAAGCCAGGAGTGACGTGGGCCAGTGGGGGCATGCGGTTGTGTTCGGATCTACAGTAGGGCTGCTGCGCAGGGAAACATGGCAGAGAAGTGTGCGGGGCAGATGGGACACAGCGCGACAGGTCGGCGCTTTCTGAGGTGGTCTTGGGGTCTCATTTCTAGGAGCACACAGTACAGGCAGTGGCTCCTACTTAGTGCCTGAAGGGCGCTGGGAGGCTCTCAAGGGCCTCCTGTGTCCCTGCCAGTTCTGCACAGGCAGCTGACTCGATGGCCTGCATATGGCCCCGCACTCTGCACACCAGCTAGGTGCCATGACCGGGGTCCCGAGAGAAAGCCACTCTGGCCGTGCCCCTGCACCGTGGCCAGACTAGGGGCCCAGGGAGCCGTGCTCGCGGGAGGTGAGCAGGCCCAGCCCGCACCCCACCCACTCGGGGTGGCAGCGTTGTCCCTTCCCCCTACCTCATGGAGGTGTAACTGAGAAGCCGAACGGGTGTTTAAAGTGCAGTGCGGTGTTGTGATCACATTATGAAATGATCAGCGGCATCGAGCTAATTAACATGTCCAACATCTCACAGAGTGACTCTTTGCGTGAGAGCATTTGAGGTCTTCTCTCTCTCAGCAAACCTCAAGCCTATAACTTACTCATTTCATTCTCATAAACTACACTTCTCAGGCTGCTCATGGGGCGGCAGGAGCTTAACCAGCACTTGCGTCCTGGGCCTTCTCTCCTGGCCCCTGCTGCTGTCTGTTCTATGCATCCTCAGTTTTTCCTGTACACAAGGCCTCAGGCCAGGGAGATAGCTCAGTAGAATAAGAGCCTGCCTGGCAGGCGTAGGGTCCTGAGTTCAATCCCCAGTACCACCCAAAAAAAAAAAAAAAAAATCACAAGGCCTCAATCTACAAATCACACAGCCTCTGCCTTGCAGCCTCGGCTAGAAGACCTCCTTGAGATTCTAAACACAGCCCGGGGAAGTCCCCAGGAGCACACACACATTCACTAGGGGAGGAAACATAGACGGGATCGTGGTTCACCTCTCACGGCACAAGCGCAGCAGGTTGTGCCTGCCTGAAACTGCTGTGGCCACAAAGTGTGACAGCGCGCGATGGCACTACGCGGGAAAGCTTCCACAACGAGGGAAGGGACCTACCGGTGTTGCCTGCAGGAAACACATGCAGGAGCACAGGAGCGCTCCCGCTGGGCTGGCTCTAGAGATTAAGTCCTTTGCAGGTGTAATACCTGAACAGTGAGCCCGTGAGACCTCCTTACAAGGGTTAAAGTTCACAAAGAGAAGAAGCACGCCCCGCCCAGCAGGCGGCCCGAGAACAGACTCCCGGGCTCCGCGGTGCAAATGCTCCATGCTTCCCCGGAGGTGGAGCAATAATTCCACTTCTTTCAGCATGACTGGTAAAGTGTATTAATTCTCCACACCACGCCACCACCGTTAAACCCAGGTGCGGATGCTCTCGGAGGCCCAGAGTGGTCCATAAATCTGCGTGTGGCGCGGGTGGCAGGCTGATGGACGCATCCCACTTGAGCAGAGAGGCCACCGGTTATTTACGGGCGGCGGCAGCATCGCTAATTAGGTCCCGTCTCTCTGAGGCCGCCTCGCGGCTCCCCGCCTAATGCGCCGGGCGTGAAAAGCTCAGCAAGCCTCATCAGTGCGGCGCTCGTTATTTATTGGCAGCCGGGCTGGGAAAACAGTTTGGCTAAAGGAGCAAAAGACAAGGACGGGGTGATAAGTCATTACGCTGTTTATTAGGTTATTGATCTTTGCCGGGAAATTAATTTAAAAGATTTAAGAAATCACCCACAGTGGAGAGAACACACTACAGAAGAGAGTTCGGCAGGGAGAGCAGGGTTCCAAACTGACTTCAGCTGCGGCTGCCCGAGCTCTCCAGGGGAGCGGTCCGGGCGGTGGACCCACCAGTACCGGTGCAGCCACCCGGTACTGGGGCGGATGGTCGAGGTTGCGGGACTGAGCGGCCTAGTGTGGTCTGAGGCATGGGGCAGAATTCAGGGAATTTCCTTGCTGTTCTTGCGGCAAGAAACCACCGTGTGCCTGTCAGGGTACGTCAGCCTGGGTCGCAGTAGCAAGTAGCTCCCGAGCCGCACCACATGAACAGCAAAGGCACAGCCGCCAGCCCAGCTGCCTGTGCCATGGGGCAGCGGGAGGGCCCTGCTTCTTCTCAGGCAGCCAGGCTGGCCGGAGCTCCAGCCCTGTGGCTGTCGCACCTCGAACCCATGTGTTGTAGTTTGGGTTTTGCAAGGAGAAATAATACAATACAGGGCACTTAATTATAAGACTATTTTATAACAGTGACCCAAAGAATCATAGGCAAAGCGAGTGCAGGAAATCTGCCCACACAATGAAGACCAAGACTCCAGCCGAGGGCCTGGATCCCACAGCAGTGTCCTGCATGAGTCCAGTGGAAGCCCTGGAGCCCACAACCGTGCTTCCCGCGAGTCCCACATGACAATGTCTCACGCAGGCCCACTTCACTGATCTGCCTGGGAAGGCCCGAGGTCAGGGGTGGGAGCTCGGAAGCCTGTGCCAGCGGGATGAAGGGTCTGTGCCAGCAGCCGAGGGCTCTGCCCTGGAGCCAGGAAGCGATGCTCGAAGGAAGACCTGGAGCTCCCCTAAAAGGGCCACAGCTGTCTTCAGCAGCAGGGAGGTCGCAGGCTCCTCAAGGATGAGAACAGCTGAGCCCATCAGGAAAGTCAGCGTGACAAGCGCCCCCAGGAGAACAAGCCGCTGCCCACAGCCTCGCTTCCTCTCTAGTTCTGTCTCTTCTGGGGCCGGCAGCAATCCTCCGGTGGCCTCCCCCACCAGTTCCATGCCAGTTCCGTTCAGCTCCAGTGTTACAAGCTGGCCACCAGGTGCCGATCCACCACACCACAGGTCCGCAGGGACGATGGAGGAAGGGATTAGAAGGGAGGGGTGACGGACCAGAAAGGTTTTATTGCCTCAGCCCAGAAGACGCAAGCAGCACAGATGCTCAATTTCAAGGCTAGAAGTGTCCCGCATCTCGGCCCAACGGCACAGACCTGGAGGCTGCAGAGGGGCAAACGGCACTCACAGATCTCCTCTTGGTCACCACAAGCAGGGTCACTGGTGGCCAGTGGGCTGGCGGAGCATCTCTGCTGTTGGGCACTGCCTGTGTCCTGTGGGGGCAGGGCTCGGGGGTTTGTCCATCTTTGTAGACCCTTCTCATGACAAGATGTCTCAGGACAGGAGGGGAGAAGTTGTGTCTGATCTAGTCATCTGTCTGAAACTGAGCAGTATATTTATTTTGCCATGAAATCTAAATTCCCAGTCTCATAGAGCCCTGACATTTGATGTCCTAGAATTTTTATAAGGTCCCATTTCTTCCTGTCACTGGAAAGTGGGGTTGACAGTGTGGGTCACAGAATGCCAATGTTATAAAATTTAGATGTAAGGCGATAAATAGAAGATGACGGCTTTTGCACTGTACCATCGAGAGGCTGTGCGTAGTGTGGTCTACGTGAGAGAAAACTATTATTTACAGCTGGCTGGGGGTCTCCTCTCCACCTCACGGAGCTCCTCACTGCACCCCTTAGGGGACCCCGCATGCCAGCTGTGCGGTCACCACTGAGGCTCCTTGGCCAGCGCGGCAGTGCAGCGTTGCCGGCTTGGGAGGGAGAAATGAGGGCGCTCCGCAGAGCGCACAGACCCAAGCGTGCTCGCGAGGCAGGAGGCCCGCGCCTGGTGGGCAGCCCTGCCCATGGAGCTGCGACCTGGAGGCGCAAGCTCATCCCCTGCTCCCTGTGGGGCTGCATTTCAGCCCTCATTCTGGATGCCAAAGCTGTGGCTTCCCGGCCAGCCACAGCCTCCCAAGGGCTCCAGGCAGAGACAGCAAGCGCTTCTCCCCCGAAACTTGCTGCTTGCCCGCACAATTCTCCATGCAGATCCAAGCTCGCGGGCATCTCCTTCCAACAGCAGGTGAATCCCTACCCCACGTGCTTTCCTGGGTGCTTCTCTCTTCCCCCCGAGGCCATTTCTCCAGCTGAGGTCTCCAGTCCCGATCCCCACCACAGCCCCTCAGCCTTCACTGTCCCGGGCACTTCCATCTAAGGGAAGATTGATCCTTCCTCAAGCTGTTCCCGCCTTGCCCCTCCACACGACTTGCCACCTTCTGCTGTGGGCTTTCCTGACCGCCTGGAGGCCCAAGGCCAAGTGTGTCGTGCAGGTGCCAGGGGACCTGCTGCCCAGGAGTCTATGGCCCCAGCCTCCACCCCATAATCAAGTCCTCTCAGGCACCGCTCACCGAGGCTTTCACCTCCTCTGCCCCCGCCATTCATTCCCACTTCCGGGAGCTAAGCTAACTGCACCCAAGCCCTTGTCTCAGGCTCTGCTTCGGGAGTGTGGGTTCTTGGGGGGAACACAGACCTGCACAACACTCAGTTCACAAGTCCAAGTTAGACCAATCACTGTTACGCGAAAACTGAGGTGGATATTGATTAAAGAAATGCAGACTGTGCCTCCAGGAGAGGAGAGTAATGGCTCAGAAAGCAGCCTGGTCTCTTCCACCCGCCCTCCTCTCAGCTGTGCTCACTCGTGTGCTTGGTGAGTGACAGAAGCCAACTGTGGTTCTTTTTTCTAAACGGGAAGAACACGAGCTCTCCCAGGATGGATCAGGAAGCACATGGAGCAGGCCTCAGAGATGGCAGGAGCAGGTCTGTGAGGACCCCAGCCCCAGGACACGGCGGAGACTCTCAGGGCCCAGTGCAGGGTTGCCTGGCACCCACTGCCCTTAGTTCCTGCCTCCCTTCCCTGGAGAGGAACCCAGACCCCAGGGGGCGCTGTCTACTTGATAGCGCTCGGAAGACACCCACCAGCCTGGCCAGGTTATCTGTCTGTGTGTCCCAGGAAGCCTGATACAAAGGAGCAGGGTTTCCCAGAGGAGAACTAGTCCTGTCATGCAAGAGGAGGTGGAGCAAGAGAACCACCTCCCCAGGACACTCTTCCCCTTTATAAACAGGGAGTGGGGTCACTTACTTCAATCCCAAGGGACTACAGATTGCCACCACTTCGGAAGAACTCACCTAGTGTACAAGTCAGCAGCATCACGTGGCATGCTGCATGGCTGGAGATCTGCTTCCAGTCTCCTGTGGCTTAATGGCATATGGGCACACACCTGGAGTCCAGGTGGCCGCCAGCTGTGAGCTGCAGGTAGGGGAGGAGGTTCTGGCTTCCAGGGAAGACCCCACACCTGGCCACCTGGGGCGCTGTCTGCTGGGGTGTCAGCCTCTGTGACCGTCCTGGGCAGGTGCCAGCAGGTCTCCTCTGGGACAGGCCCCTCGAGCAGAGAAGCCCCCGTTGCAGCCAAACCTTTATGCATTTTTATTTCTTGGAAGCGTTTCCCTCCATTGCAGTAGATACGGGGTCAGTTCTGAACCTCGGCCTACAGTGGCGCGTGGGCCCCACAGGGGCTGTGCAAACAGAGGCAAGAGACATAGACAATGTAGAAAAAAATAGATGTGTTTTTCTCTGCTTGGGAACAATGAAGCAATTTAACTTATTGTTTCAGCTGAGACTGACGGGAAGTGGTGGTGACACGCCCCCTCAGGCAGCCTCGCCATGGGAGGTGATGGTCTGCAGGGGTGGCGGCGGGCATGAGCAGAGCTGCACCGCCTCTCAGGTGTCTGGGCTAGAAACTCGGAGTCAGGGCAGCAGTCGCATGGCACCCCAACCCCAGGCCCATCTTTGCCCCTGCTCAGCTCACCCCACCAGAGCTGCCTTCCCCCAGGCACCCGCATGGGGACGTGCAGCCCCCTCCGCCTCCCCTGTGCAGGAGCTCATAAGGAGCGCCTCACACGGGGCCTCAGCATATCAGAGGGCACCTGTGTCCGCACCACGAAGGGTGGGCCTGGGCTCCCCCGCACACCTCTGTCTCTGCTGACCAACTGAGTCCAGGCCACCTGCTGTGTCACTGGGGCTGCCACCCCCCTTTGCAAATGGCCTGAGCTTTGCTCTTGAGTCCTTGTCCCAGGTTCTGTTTCCAGGGGCGACCATTCCTGCAGCAGGATGAGGACAGTGGCCGTGTTCCTGGTGTCAGTGACAATGCACCAGCCTCCTAGAAAAGCACCTACAGGCTGGCTTCAGTGACTCACTCTGCTCTGGGCCATGTCCCCTCTTTTCTCTCCCTCTGGGTCTCACAGCTTCTTGGGTTGTCAGAGGCCAAGAGTATCTCCCAGCGTATGCAGCGCATGAGCCCAAGCAGGGTGGGCCACAGGCGTGATAAGCAAGGGTCTTCCGCCCTCAGGCTGCACCCCCGGACCCTCGGCTGCAGCAGCTCCCAGCTTAGCTTTCTTCTCACACATGCTGAGCCTCAGCATGTCAGAGCGTGTGAACGGCGCTCTGCCTTCCACTGCTCGGTGTGGAGGTCTTCATCTCCAGCCCGGCGCGCACGGAGGTGTCCCGAGCCAGCGTGAGCGTCGTGCCTGCGGCTCTCTGGCTGCTGCCCCTGCACACCCCCAGCCTGTGTGGGCCCAGGGGAGGGCGTGCCCCACCCCGTCCCAAGCACAGCTTGTCCCTTCTTGTCATCGCAGCCGAGATAGCATTATGCTTGGATTTTGCCCCTTTGGTTTCTTTTGAGTATGCTTTTACCTAAAGTACAGTGAAATCAAGCTGGGAACTCAGAGGAGAAGTGGCCGATGCATCGGCCTGCCGGAGTCCCCCAGGAGCACAGCTGAGTGAGGAGGGCGGGCATCCAGGGCCTGGAGCACTTCACTTCCCCGGCCGGAGCCCTATGGAGCGCCCGCACTCAGCAAGCCCAGCAAGCTCACCTGGAGTGGCCACAGAGCAAGGACGATGACCACAGCCGGG